CCCCGCCCCTCCCCTCAGAGTCCCGGCCTATCCTCACCCTCCTGTCAGAGCCCCGGCCTAACCCCTCCCCTCAGAGCCCCGTCCTAACCCCGCCCCGCCCCTCAGAGCCCCGTTCTAATCCCGCCCCTCTGCTCAGCGCCCCACCCTTCTGCTGCACCTCGCGAAAATGCCAGCGCCTAGACTCTGGCGAGAGCGCTTGTGGATCTTTGAAAAGACCAGGTTAGAAGCAGTTTCTTTTCTAGTTAGAAAGCTTATCTTTCTCAAACACCGTTGGGGCTCTTGCACTTACGCTTTCAATGCATTTCTGAGAGTGCTACGAAGATTTGAGTTTCTATATTTCAATCACTTTCCCAGTGATTGGAACTGTGCCTGGGGCAGCAGCACCTAACATTTTTTAGGTCCCTACTACAAGCCAGGCAGCACATCTGCCTCTTTACAGAAATTGTTTCATTTTGACAAAATTATGCAGGAGACGCTCTTGTTGGTCTCATCTTGCAGGTGAGAAAACAGAGAGGTTCAGTACTAGGGACCTGGTGAATAACTGAACCCACTGGCCTGAAACACAGCAAAAGGAGGTCCTGGATTTGAAAGTGATGTGGGGATTAAACAGCTTTACAGGAAAGCCCCAGCCCTGAGCAGAGTCCATGGTAAGTGCCTCATTCCCACGTGTTGAAGGACTGTGGCAGTGGGGAGATACTGTATCCCCTCTCCTTGTCCTCAGCTCAGTGTGACAGAAGCCCTGTTCTAGACAACTGGGGCCAAGAACACTTTCCATGCTCCCAGCTGGAGGCTACAGTAGCTCCTTGAACAGGACAAGCTGTAAGCACTGCTCAGACCCTCCCCTAGACTCCATGCTGCAGAAACTCCATCCAGGAGACACTGACCGAGAGGTCCAGGGATATCCTTCTCCATCCAGCCCCCACTTGTGGGACAGAAACATTAGCCAGCATGGCAGGCTGAGAACAACTGGGCCACAACTGCTCTCATCTCAGCTTGCACATGGGACAGAGGTCCTGCACTGAAAGAGATGGTCACAGAGGCTAGAGACTGATGCCCAGACGGTAGGGATACTGGTGGGAAGCAATTAACAGGAGACCTGCAGTTCCAGGGAACAGTGAGCTACCACAGGGCAGCTAGAGGCTTATTAGGGGCAGTTAGGGAAGAAGAGCCTTCCTGAGTCCAGAACAAATCTCGAAGATTGGCCTCAAATGCTATCCTGAGAATAAGGCCCAATTTACTTGGATCAGGTTGTGAACCAGTTTATGCCTCAGGGCACGGATGAAAACAATAGAGGCTTGGGCTGGAAGGTAGCGGATATTAAGGACTGAGTGTTAATTCCTGCAAAGGCAGACAGCTTAATGAGAACAGGGACACACACAACCCAAGAAAGCCTGGCTAAAACAGGGCTTACTGAAAGAAAGACCTAGTCATGGGACTACAAATGCTTCCCCTCCTCCCACATGTTGCCACTGCATCAAAAGAATTTCTCCATAATAACGGGAGAATGCCGCTGACAACACTGCATGTGGAGAGCTTATAAAAAGGAGTCTGTAGGAATGCCAAGAGCAAGGGCAGCAAAACTGCACCCCCAGGGGAAATGTGAGCCTCTGACACCTGCAGTTAGAGCACAGGCAAGCACAGCCTATCTCCTGCCAGACAAACGTCAAACCTCCCACTGTTAGAATATTTACCTCAACTGTTTGTACCCATCACTTTATGTCCAGCTTTCAATAAAAAATTACAAGGAGCACAGTTTGAGGAGACAAAGCAATTATCAGTACTGGATTTAAATGTTGCAGAGATAATGGGAATATCAGACTAGTAATTTCAAATAATTGTGATTAATACGCTAAAGCTTCTAATGGAAAAAGTGAACAATAGAAAAGAACGATTGATAATATAAACAGAGAGATGAAAACACTAACAACAAACATAGTTGGGTATCTTACAGGCCATGGTCATAACAATTCAAGCACTTTGCCCTGGGTTGAAGTTGCAACACTATGTGTGTTCCATGTTGCACAGTCCCAGGTGTCCGTGTCAGCATAAAAGTGTAATTGTTCCTGGAGCCCTCTGTTGGGTGACGCAGGGAAAGAAACTGCAGATGGGATGATTTGAAAGGAGGTCCAGACTCGCTCAGGTCAGCGACCAGGCCCAACTTTACTGATTATCTTATATACTTTCAAACATTCAGCAAGAATTTAATACAGATAAAATAAGTGAAGTAAGATCAGGAAACTACCATTAAGATTACAGTTCAGTGTGAATGCTGTGGAACACATATACAATTGATTTTATTTGGGGGAAAAACATAAAAGAGACTGGCTGTCTGCTCTTGCTTAGCCCAAGGTGTTTTAGAACTGAAACCAAAGATTATAATGTTAATGAGGGAAGAAGGGCAGAGAAGAGCACAAGCTTCCAGCTGTGACTCAGGTCTGGCCCTCCGGTATTCTTTTGTGAGAATATCTCTGCATTTCTGCAGGCTACAGGCAGGAACTCAGTCAAGCAAGTAATCCTTCTCAGAGCCATTCTTCTTGGGGAGCACTCGAAACTGAACTGCCATGTCGAGCATGGGGTGTTCATCGCTACATAAAGGTCCCATTCTGTTGTTTTGTGTTATCATGAAGATTGATTTCCATGCCTGTGGCTGAACCCACGTGACTGACAGAATCCTGCTTCTGCTGCAGCCCTTCCATCTCTGCCAGTCTCCCCATCTCTGCCAGTCTCCCGGCACTGCAGGCAGGCCTCCGAGCTGGATTCCTTTCTTGTGATCCTTGGACTCCCCTGTCCAGGGGCTCTTCGTGTTTTATTTAACAAGTGTTACCTTCATGTTCCTTGTTTGGGATTAAGGGCCACGATCCCTTTAATTTCTTAGTTCGGCACTTCAGTACTCCCCAAGCCCACCGGTGGTGGGTGAGTGTAGCTTACTCTCAGAGAGGCGAGTACTGGGAGGATTGCTCTGGCAGTGACTGTCCTGGGGTTACCACCCAATTTAGTCTGTTCTTCCTCTGTCTTTTGCACGTTCTGACCAGAGGTTTGTAAATGTGGGCGACAGGTCTCTGACCTTGCTCACAAACTTACTCTTGGACTGTATGTTTTAGAAAATTTTCCTAACTGCTATACTGTGTGGGATGGACTCTCTTCTGGAGAACCTTGTGCCTTTCATTTTTAAAAGCCAGTATGTACTGGGCCTAACTGAACCTATTGGGAAAGCCACAGAGGGAGAAGATCTTCACAGCTTTCTTGAAAAGAGGCACTGCAGGGATGTAGTGAGGTATCTAAATGTCAGGCATGGTTGGTCAGTTGGCTGCTACAGTGGCAATTCATTCAATGGTCCCTTGTGGGCAAGGGAGATACAACAGTAAGTAACTGGGCGTCCTGGGCGTCCAGCTAGTCTACCAATCACTTCTCTCTTTAATTTATCTAGAGTTAATCATTTTTTTGATTAAATACTTTATCTTCATTCCTGAGTATCAAATACTTAACTCTATTTATATATACAACATATATTGTTTTCATCAATTTTTCTCATTTCTAGTGGCCACTAGCTTTATTTAACAAGTGTTACCTTCATGTTCCTTGTTTGGGATTAAGGACCATGATCCCTTGGATGTAACACTTTCATCCTGCTAATCTTTCATCACTCTCACTGCTTTTTTCTGTACTGATCAAATACATTAGATTAATAATGTTTGTAGATCATTCAAGAGCATAAATGTCTATGTAATCGGGAAGGCATCTGTATGTGTGTGTGTGTCAGCTTGAGTTCACACTGTTTTCAAATGCAGCATGATTTGAATCCACAAAATTTATTAAGTTAACAGTTTACAAAGAGTGCAATTTTGTACAGAATGCCAAATAATTAATGCAGAAAGTAAATGCTAGAGAAAGAGAGACCCTTTAAAAATATCGAATATAGTAATAACACTTCATGAATCATTTTTACAGTTATTATCTACCTGGAATTCCCTACAGTTTTGAGGAAGATAAATAAGAATTTTTGGTCTCCATTTTGTACTAAAGAAAGTGAAGTTCATAAAGGCTACATGATTTC